TTTGTAAATGCACATGCAGAAGATAACAAATACCCAACTAACACACTCACTCGTGTTCAGAACCTAACTGCAGTACACACAACACCAAATCCTAGTGGAATTCTCTATTGCATTAATTTCTAATAATCTATCGCCGTAATCCTTTTATGGATTTTTATTTCAACAAATAAAGTCTGCCTGACCCCTGATGTTTTAACATTTCTGTAGCATCACTATACACAATACAATTTTCTTTGAATTACTATCAGGCTCCCCACCTTTGTAATTCCTCTTTGATTAGTCTTGACCGTCATGTCAATTTTGCCTTTCACACCAAACTTTGGAGACCAAACATTTTCTTCAATATCTTGAATCTCTGTTATCTGGCCAGCCCACTGCCTTTTTGATTGACCTTTTAATTCAACCTTGTCTGAAAGTAAGGGGGGGGGGGCGGGAGAAAAAAATTCTTACTACTTCAAGTTATCCTACTTTAGTCTATTCATTTGCTGCTGTTTTCCTATGTAAAAATTAAAGATTTATCTTAAAAAACAGAAGCTACATCTAGTATGATTTAGGCATTCAAGGACCTATGTTTATCAATGTCACACACACGCACACACAGACACACGCTGCTATCTTCTTATGTCAAACAGATATATTTTCAAAATAGAAGCTACTTTGAAAAATGATTTATGCATTCAAAGGACCTACTATTCTGAATGTCTCATGCGCATACACATACATACACACACATGCATGCACGCACGCACGCACGCACCCACGCATGCACACACGCACACGCACGCATGCATCCGCGCACGCACGCATGCATCCACGCACGCACGCACTATACACACATACACGGAGGACTTCTGTGGTACTGACCTTGTAATTTTCCGTTGCCCAGGTATCTCTGAGACCAAGTGTTAATGTGAGGGATGAAGTTATTCATTTCCTCATATATGTGCGCCTCCGATACTCCGAGTCCATACATTTCCTGCAGCATCTTTGGCTGTGACATTAGTTCTCTTACTAGATGCTCCAACTGCTCCCGAGACTTGATCTTCTTCTTCACCACCTACAGTGATATCAATTGCCTTTTTGAAAGTAATGTTTCACTTTTCAGTATGACAAAATTACTCATCAAAAGAAAGTACGAAAGAAAGAAGAAAGAGAATTTATGTTTATATGAAGAATGAATACACCAAAACAGAAACAATCAAAAATATAAGAAAGGCTATACTGTTCTTACCTCTTGAAAGAGCTCATGAACAAGAGAACCAATAAGCATCAGCTGGTTACCCGGATCTAGACCTCTGAAACGTTCATTCAAAACTGCTTTTCGGCGACAGAAGACACCAGACACAACAGAAGTTCCAGAGATAAGGAAGTCTGGGTTGATCACAATGAGACCCTGATGATAAACAAATTCAAAGACTGATAATATACATTTTTAAAATTAATAATAATTCTTATCAAACATCAATGTATTCACACAATACAATCCATATATAATATATATATATATATATATATATATATATATATATATATATATATATATATATATATATATATATATATATAAATATATATATATACAGTGAACCCTCCTTTTTCGCGGGGGTTATGTTCCAAAAAGAACCCGTGATAGGTGAAATCCGTGAAGAAGTGACCTTTATTTTTTTTACAATTATTATACAATGAAATACTCTAGAATACATTGAAACCAAGGAACAAAACCTTTTTACAGGCCCAAGCATTTGCTTAACAAATAAAAGTACTGTATAAACATTTTTTACAAATAACTACTGTACTGTAAAATAATAATTTTAATCATCAATACGAACTGAAGGCTTTATGGGTTTAAGAGAAAATTTTCAAACTTAAATTTGGCAAGCTGTTTTACGTACATGTACATATTAAACCGTAACATTATTGACACACAGGTAGAGAAGAAGTGGAGAGACTGTTTAGCCAATCAGAATGCAGAACACAATGCACAATGCAAATCCGTGAAGCAGCGAGAACGTGAAAGGTGAACCGCGTTATAGCGAGGGTTCACTGTGCACACACACACACACACTCATATATATATGTGTGTATGTGTGTGTGTGTGTGTGTGTGTGTGTGTGTGTGTGTGTGTGTGTTGTGTGTGTGTGTGTGTGTGTGTGTGTGTGTGTGTGTGTGTGTGTGTGTGTGTGTGTGTGTGTGTGTGTGTGTGTGTGTGTGTGTGTGTGTGTGTGTGTGTGTATGTGTGTGTGTGTGTGTGTGTGTGTGTGTGTGTGTGTGTGTGTGTGTGTGTGTGTGTGTGTGTGTGTGTTGTGTGTGTGTGTGTATGTGTGTGTGTGTGTGTGTGTGTATGTGTGTGTGTGTGTGTGTGTGTGTGTGTGTGTGTATGTGTGTGTGTGTGTGTGTGTGTGTGTGTGTGTGTGTGTGTGTGTGTGTGTGTGTGTGTGTGTGTGTGTGTGTGTGTGTGTGTGTGTGTGTGTGTGTGTGTGTGTGTATATGTATATGTATATGTAGTATATGTATATGTATATATATGTATATATGTATATGTATATGTATATGTATATGTATATGTGTATATGTGTATATGTATATGTGTATATGTATATGTGTATATGTATATGTGTATATGTGTGTGTATGTATATGTGTGTATGTATATGTGTGTATGTGTGTATGTATGTGTGTGTATGTATGTGTGTGTATGTATGTATGTGTGTGTGTATGTATGTGTGTATGTATATGTATGTATATGTATGTGTATGTATGTGTATGTGTATGTATATATGTATATATATGTATATATATATATATATTATATATATATATATATATATATATATATATATATATATATATATATATAATATATATATATATATTAACACACTATAAAATCAGATATCCTGATTCCACAATAAAAAAAATTACCTGAGTATTGTTTACTGTGAAGTGTCCATCCTCTGAAGCCTCTGTATATAAAATGTGAACAATGTCTCCTTCTGAAACCATACTCTGTGACCTGTAAACAAAATGCAGATGTACTTCAGTTGCAATATGCTTTTCTATTAAGATGCAGTACTATTTGGTTTCATACCATGGTACTATTGCTAGAACATTTTATTACAAATCCCCTTTCAGTGAACACAAATCATTCTAATGCACTACAGTAATATGGGGTGAATTTTAAGTGATCTTTCCTCTAAGATGTGCATCTCTCAATGATAATTTATTTAGAGATAAATAATTACACAAACTTTAACTTAGTTTTACAAAATAAACACTAAAAAGAATTGCTATAACAAATTTAAAAAATTCTCACCAGAATCCACCAAGAGTGCAGGTCTTGTTGCTCTTATCCTGTACTGATATAAGCCTTAGTAATACCTCCCCTTTATAAGTGTTGCGCTCAACAGCACTCACAACATGGCGACCAAAGCCCCCTTTCATTGAAAATGACTCCTCACCCAAACCCTCAAACAACAGCTTCTTTATTGCTCTGGAAAGAAGTGGTCAGACATGTCAACAGCATAATCAAACAATTATATATCCAGTAAAAATAAATTACTTCTTAAATGGTTGTGTTTTTAGACAAGCCAAACTCATTAAAACAATAAAAATAAGTGCATCTAAATTCATGAAAAAACAACAATGGCTAAAAGTTATTTCAATTCACTGGTGATTATATATTCTACCTTTCATCTGATATTCCAGAAACCTACTTATTTTCAACTGGTGGCACTTGTTGAACCTCCTGCTTGAAAGGTGACATCTTCTCAAAATCTACAGCTAAATCATCATCAAATAAGTGGTCCATAGAATCCTCTTGTGTTTCAGGTATGGGATGGCTCTTGTTTTTTTGTTCTACATCATCAAATGCAATGTCAGCCATAAAACCTTGAGAAGCTTCAAGGACCTCTGATATGTCTTTATGGTCAAGAACATCTGAATCACTGGCAGCTTTAATGCTATTTGTTTTCTCACTTTTTACTGGTGATTTACAACTGTCTTCCTTTATGAAAGAATTTAAGTCACCATTATTCATTTTACTTCTTAAAACATCATCACCATTTGAAGACTCTCCTTTATTCAAGATATTCTCTTTATTTTCTTTCTTGCAATCTGGCAATAGAATACTGACACTTCCATCACTCTCTGCATCACTTATATAGGAGTTTTGGTCTTCAAACTTGGAAAGAAGATTGGACTTGCAATCTTCTTTTTCTTCTGGAATGACAATATCAGGTACATTCGTTCTCTTGGGATCCGGTGATATGCCCATACCAGTTGCTGCTGGTCTCTTCAGTTTACCAGCGATTTGGTCTGATAAGAAATGACTGTCCTTTAGGATTTGTTGTTCACTTTTGTTTACAGAATTACTCTTCATTTCAATCTTTCATGGGACTTTCTTCTACTCAACTCTGGATACTGACTGACAATGACTGGAAAGACTTTGTGGCTGTGTGTGAAGAGCTGCTCACTATGGATGATAACTTTCCTGATAGCCCAGAACAAAAAGATTTTGTATCAGACAACTTCGTAATGTTTAGCTGGGGAGTTGATGGAATGAAATCTGGACTTGCACTTATTTTTGAAGACTTAAGGAGACCTGCACTACTTTTCTTTATCTCTGGGGTAGACTCTATCACTTCAGGGTCCGAATCACTCCACACCTCACTTGAATCAGAAATTTCCTCCGCCAGATCTGTTTTCTTTCCCTTGCCAAAGCCTGACGAACAAGCACCATTCCCGAAAGCTGATTTCTTCTGGAGAACTGTTGTTGCCCCATTGCTTTTAGTGGTGAGTAACTTGTCCTTTTCTTTATTGCTACCAATACCACTCAGTTTACTTCTGGCGCCTGCACTTGAGGAGCCATGCTGCACTGTCGTAAAGAGACTCGGGGCAGAAAAGAAGGAGGAGATTTTCTCTTTCTTATCTGGCTATAAGGAAGAGAAAAAATATTGGTAACCTTTTGACTGAAGCTGAGTCTAAGAAACTTACTACTGTAAAATAATCTGTGCCTATAATTAGATGATATTTAATTCTCTGTTAAGTCTTATGAAGGAGACATAGAATGATAGTGTAAGAGCAAAGGGAAAAGAGAGAGAAGGGAGAAGGGGGAGAAGAGAGGAATGGAGAAAGAGACATTATAGTGGGGATAAAGTTTTCTTGGTCTTTGCTGGAATACAATAATATGGAGGCCAAAGTGATGACCAATGTTTCAAGAACTGTTCAATGTTCAAAGGACACACAAGTCTGCTACTTTCCTTGCATAAACGTGCTCACTCTTCACCTAGCGACATCCTTACAATGGCTGACAAACCCACTTTATCAATAATAGAGCAAGATCTAGCTTGCAAATGGCTCTTTCAACTTATCATTTAAAAAGGAGCTAATCCATGCTCCATTTTACCAAATTATTGGTTACAGAGGTTTGTTTTAAAACAATTACCAAAATTTGTTTTCATTAATCCCCTTTCAACATTTCCTTTCAAAAATCCTATGTAAGACCTGGCGCTACAAGAGAGGCATATATTCTTTTTCAACCAGGGAGAGAACAATTTAACATTAATTTACTGTAAAATGAAAAAAATATATCTTTGCTTTTATTCGCTTACATATCACATTCCGTTTTTTTTTTTTCAAATTGTTAAGGAAACACTACTGAATAAAAATGTCTTCCAGTTAGCCGTTCTATCTAATACTTGTGAAAAATAACGCTGAGTGAAAAAGAAAGCAAAGCCCATTTCCATTTCCCATTTCCGCTGCAACGAGTTGAGACCTGACTGTCACAACCCACCATCACACACCGACTATATTCCTTAATGTATTAATTCAAGAACACCTTTGTTTAACCACAACCACAACCACACACCATTCAACTACAAAACGGTATATCCACATATTAAGAACGACTGTCTGCAGGCTCTTCGTTACTTACAGATATTTTTGCCTTCAACTTCCCCATCGCTCAGCTGTTTGGTTTTCTCGCGCCAACTGCAATGAGGAACTGGAGAAGGAAAGGAAATTCACATCAATGAATAAGTCATACGGACACGATACTAACATACTTTTATACGATAATTCTATTAAACATATATCTAAAGTATCTATGATTTACTTCCTGACGATATTGGAAAAATGAGTAAAACTTCATCGGTTTCCCTCCATATACAAATCCTATATAAATCATTCCTATTGGTCGAAAGCAAGTAGAGTTGACCAATCATCATCGCGTTATACCTTAGAGTAGATTGTAAACAAGAGATGTAAGAAGAGTTATCGTAATATTGTTATTGTTATTATTCATTATTGTTTTCTGTATTGTTACTATTCATTATTGTTTTCTGTATTGTTATCATTATCATCATTATTTTTAACATCAATGAAATAATGTTAATAGTAATGACAATAATAATAATCGTAATAATAATGATAATAATAATAATATTATTATTATTATTATTATTAATGATGATGATAATGATGATGATGATGATGATGATGATGATGATGATGATGATGATGATGATGATGATGATGATGATGATGATGATGATGATGATGATGATGATGATGATGATGATGATGATGATGATGATGATGATGATGATGATGATGATAATAATAATAATAACAATAATAATAACAATAATAATATCATTATCATTATTACTATTATTATCATTATCATTATGATCATAATGATTATTATGATCCTTGTCATTATTGCCTTTATTATTTTAATTATTATCAATACTATTATCATTATCATCACCACGTTATTATAGCTTTTATTTTGTTTTATTGCCATTATAATTTTTATCATTGCTAATATTACTGTCATTAGTACTTTCGCTATTATTATTATTATTATTATTATTATTATTATTATTATTATTATTATTATTATTATTATTATTATTATTATTATTATTATTGTTATTGTTATTGTTATTATTATTATTATTATTATTATTATTATTATTATTATTATTATTATTATTATTATTATTATTATTATTATTATTATTATTATTATCATTATTATTATCATTATCATTATCATTGTCATTATGATTATTATTATTATCATTAATATTATTATTATTATTATTATTATTATTATTATTATTATCATTATCATTATCATTATCATTATCATTATCATTATCATTATCATTATCATTATCATTATCATTATCATTATCATTATTATTATCATTATTATTATTATTATTATTATTATTATTATTATTATTATTATTATTATTATATTATTATATTATTATTTATTATTATTATTTATTATCATTATCATCATTATTATTATTATTATTACTATTATCATTAGTATTACCATTATTATTATCATTATTGTTTTTATCATTACTCTCATTATTGTTCATATTCTAGTGCTAATTCTTATTCTTATTCTTATTATCATTATTATTATCAGTTATGTCCGTTACTATTACCATTGTATCATTATTATCACTGTTATCATTATTATCGTTATTGTTTTCATCATTATTACTATTGTCATTATTAGTATCATTACCATTATTGTTAATCATTATCATTATTCCTATTATCATTGTTAGTATTGTTATTATCCATATCGTTCACATTATCATTGTTATCGATATCATCATCATTATCATTATCATTATTATTATTATCATTATTACCATTATCATTATTATTACTGTTATCATTGTTATTATCATTATTACTATCACTATGATTTTCTATTCTGATTTATATTCTTCTGCTTAGTATTGCATCAGTATAGTGATAAATATAATAAATTTTACTATCATTAACATTACTATCATAATTATTATTATAGTTATAGATATAATTACTAGTATTAGAATCACCAACATCATTACTGTCATTACTATTAGTAACACTACTGTTAAAATCACTGTTACAAATATAATCAGTATCAGTATCGCAATTTAGTATTACTATAATGATCATCATTATTATTAGGATCGTAACTAATATCATTATCACTATCGTCATCAATGCTACTAATATTAATAATATTGTTATTTTTATTACTACTATCGATATTACCATTAAGTTAACAGTGATTATTATCACCATTATCATAATCATTATCATTATTATGATGATAATTATTATCCTTATTGTTATGATTATTATCATTATTATCATTATCAATATTTTAATTGTTATTATCATTATCAATATCATATTGTTATTATCATTATCATTACTATAGTTATTATCATTATCATTATTATGGTTATTATCATTATCATTATTATACTTATTATCATTATCATTATTATACCTATTATCATTATTTTTTTTTTATCATTATTGGTATTCTTATTATCGTTATTATTATCGTTGTTATTATCATTATCATTATCTTTATTATCATTATCATTATTTCTATCATTATCATTATCATTATTTCTGTTATCATTAATGTTATTATCAATATTACTATCATCGTCCTTATTATCATAATGAATAATATAATCGTCATTTTCATTATCATTATTACCATTATAAATATTAATATCAATATTAAATTACGATTATTATAATCACTGCTATTATCATTATTATCATTATTATTGTTATCATCATTATCATGATTATCGTTGTTGTAGAAAATATCCGAAACAATATTTATTGAAAACGAGACAGTTTCGAAATTCCTTTTTCACAGAGGCGGGGCTTCCATGGTGGCATGGGGGGGGGGGGGGAACCCTCCTGCAATCTGATTAACCACCCCGATGGTCAGTGATTCGTCGTAATGTCAGTCATTGCGTAAATCGTAATTAGTTCTTTACCGACATCCACTTAATAAAAGTACACCCAGCAGATATAATATGGCCAAGAAAGGCAAGATGAAAATAGTAACTGTACAATATAAATATTGAAGTGGGTAGCTTTATTTTTTGTTATTTAGGGCGCCCCCCCCCCCCCCCCCCCGAGATATATTGCTGTTACCCCCTGTGCCCTCCCCCAGAAAAGCCCCTTCTTTTTCAGCCCTGAAGAAGAAGGGGAAAGAAAGGAGTAGGTGACAGAGAGAAGTAACGGGATAAATAAGGCAGATGAGGACAGGTGAACGGAAGTGAAGGGGGGCCAGTTCAGGTTAAGAGGTCAAGTGGTCTGTGCCAAGGGTGGCCGGCATAAGTGAATCGGGAAGCGAGGGAAGCTCCTGGATTTCAAGTTTTAAAAAGATGAACACATTAATTTCTGCACTAAAATGACATACATTCTTATTTTGATATTTGACATAATAGTTATTTCATTTTGAACATCAGACTCTGTTGTAGCTGTCCTCAGTTTTAGGGAGCCAGTGTTCTCAACAATTGAGTAACTAAAGAATTGCATTTT